GAAACATGAAAAATGAGTGGACTTCAAGACTCTTTGGAAACCCAAAACTATGGCCACCAGTGCTTTGTTCCAAGAGTTTGGTTACAAAGTTTTAATTTGGTGGGATGTTTTTTGTTTTTTTTGGAAGGAAGTTCCAAGTAAAGAAAGATCCTTATAAAATACATGTATTTTATTTAAATTTCCTTACTTGACTACAGACCTTATTTTAGCCGGCCACATAATCATGAACATATCTAGCAAGAAAACTTGAAAAATAATGAGCATCAGTGAAAGTACAAATTCTTAAATGAATTTCGCATTTGTAACTATGATTATGACAGAGTGGGGGATTGGCTCCTCAGTGAAACTGTCTCATCTTAGCTCTAGATTCTATTTTCATACATCACAGAAGTGCTGTGTAATTAGGTCTGTTTGTTTGGATTCACTCAAGAACTAAGAAACAGTATAGAGCAGCTTAGCCTCACATGGTTTTGCTTGTCTTCCTTCATTGCATTTAGTGCCAAGTGTGTTCCATTTTTAAAAGCAAGGCAGAGTGAGTCAAGGCATACACATACTCTCTCACAAACTTCATAATCGCATTTTGGGATTTTAAAAAATGTACTATACACCTGATGAAATATATTCAATTAAATATATTCCATCTTTTAAACAAATGTCAAGCTTAGCACCCATAGTTAATTTATATCACTGTTTTATCCAGTGCTTTCAAAAATGATTACATGTCAACCATGGACAGGTAGCTCAGTTGGTTACTGTCATCCTGATACACCAAGGTTGTGGGTTCAGTCCCATCAGGGCACACGCAAGAATCAACCAATGAATGCATAAATAAGCGGAACAACAAATCGATGTTCCTCTCTCCCCCATTCCCTCCCATCACCTTCCTCTCTCTCTCTCTAAAATCAACCAATAAAATAAATGATTGTCTCTTCAATCCTCACTTTAAATAAAATCCAAGTATCATTCCAAAAATAAAACTATTTAGAGCAAATGTATAAGTCACTAGAATAGCACTGATTGTGTTGACTTTGATCAGTGTCAATCAAAGTCAACAACTGATCAGTGTTGACTTTGAACTTCTTATGGATTATAAAGGTACATGATTTCCTTAGCAAGACACATTGGAGATATTTGTCCCCACTGTGTCTAAAGTTTTGTAAGAATTTGAATTAAATATTTGTCATCTCATATTAATTGCTTTTATGTGGTAAACAAGTCTCTTATAAACCCATCTACTTATTTCTTTCCTCATAATGCTTTGTCCTTTTACATTATGAAATGTATGGAATGAGCCATATAAAGCTGTCACCATCAATGTTTTTACCTGGTAATATTAAATATTTTTAACTTAAAATAGACTGCTAAATTTATTTGTTCTTTATTTTAGATGTGTTCATTATTGTTTTTAAAATTTGTGAAGCAGTGTTTCTATTTAAATTTTCATTGTTTTCTTTATATGGGAGTTTTATAATCTTAAACACTAAAAATGTTTAAATGAGAATGAAACTGTGAGAAGCATAATGGTATTTGTATTTATGTAGGTTTTTTATGTACATAACAGCTTTATTGAGATATAAGTCTCATATCAAACAGTTCACCATGTGAAGTGCACCATTCCAGGGTCTTTAATACATTCACAGAGTTGTGCAACTATCACCACGATTTTGGAACGTTCTCATCACTGCAGGAAGAAACCCCACACTCAGTCGCAGTCACCCCCCCAGGTTCTCTGTGTATCAGTTCCCCACAGCTCCTGCAAAAAAGCACCACAAACGTGGCAGCTTACAACAGCAGATGTGTTCTTCCTCAGTTCAGGAGGCCAGACGTCCTGCATCAAGGTTGTCAGGGTTGCTCCCTTCTGGAGGCTCTGAGGCAGAAACTACCCAAGCCTCTCTCCTGGCTGCTGGTGGCTGCTGACAGTCTTGCCGTTTCTTGGCTTGTAACTGCCTCCCTTCATTCACTGTGTCTGTTTTCACATGGCCTTCTTGCCTGTGTGTCTCTGGCTTTATGCGGTGTTACAAAGACAACCGTCATTGGATTTGGCCTACCTTCTCCCCACCTGCCATCCAGTATGACCTAATCTTAACTAATGACATTTGCAAAGACCTCATTTCCAAATAAGGTCATATTCTCAAGTTCTGGGTGGTCATAACTTTTGGGAGGACATTATTCAACTCAGTTATACCCCTCAAACACCCAGCCTTAGACAACCATTAATCTTTCTCTAGATTTGCCTATTCTGAACATTTTTATGTTGGGTTTTGAATTTTTCTCTCCACTAGAAAAGAAATGTGTCATGGGAAAACAGATAAATCTTCACTGAGGAACTTTACAAATAACAAGCTAGGATCTTTAATAGTGTCAAGGTCACAAAAGTCAAGGAAAGACTGAGGAAAAGTTCCAGTGTGGAGTCCAAAGAAACATGAGGCCTGCCCTGGCCAGGTGGTTCAGCTTGCTGGAGCATCGTCCCGTACACCAGAAGGTTGTGGGTTCAGTCCCCCAGTCAGGGCACAGACCTAGGTTGTGGGTTTCACCCCTGATCTGGACATGTACAGGAGGCAACCAATCAATATGCCTGTCTCTCTCAAAAATCAGTAAATACGTCCTCAAGTGAGGATTAAGAGAGAGAGAGAGAGAACGGGAGGGAGAAGATGAAGCCTGGCCAGCTAGCTCAGTTGATCAGAGCATCTACCTGACAGGCCCAGGTTGAGATTTCCATCCTGCATCAGGGCACTTACAAGAATCAGCTAATGAATGTATAAATAAGTAGAACAACAAATTGATGTTTCTCTCCCTCTCTCTCAATTTTTAAAATTATAAAGATATGAGTAAGGCAATACATATATGGTAATTAACATATGACAGGAGGCAAGAACATACAATGGAGTAAAGATAGTCTATTCAATAAACGCACTTGGGAGAATTGGACAGATGCAAAAACATCAAATTACACCACCTTCTTACACTACATACAAGAATAAGCTCCAAATGGACTAAAGACTTAAATGTTAAGACTCGAAACCATAAAATTCCTAAAAGAAAACATAGGCAGTAAAATCTCTGACACCTCCCCTAGAAATATTTTTTCTGATATATCTCCTCTGGCAAGGAGGAGAAATGAAGGCTAAAAAGTTTTTGCACAACAAAGGAAATCCACAAAATGAGAAGACAACCTATTGAACTGAAGAAGATATTCACCAATGATACATCTGATAAGGTGTTAATATCCAAAATTTATAAAGAACTTATACAACTCAACACCAAAAAACAATCAAAATAAAAACAGGCTCAGAGAGGAGCAGGTTGGGGTGGGGGGAGTTGGGTGGAAAAGGTGAAGAGATTAAGAAGGAAAAGCTGGCAGTTACAAAATAGTGATGGGGATATAAAGTACTGCGTAGGGAACATACAATATCCAACAATATTGTAATAACTATATACAGTATCTAATGGGTACTACAACTATTGGGGGAACACTTTGTAAAGTACATGAATGTCTAACCACTATGCTGTACTCCTGAAACTAATACAAAATAGTATTGAGTGTACACTGTAATTGAAAAATAAAATTTAAATTAAAAAAGAAATATAAGTCCACAATGATTTTGAACTGGATTCTTTTCCTCTGAAGGACATTATTGGGACATTTGGCAAAATATAAATGGAACCTAAGGATCAGATGGTATTAATGCATCAATATTAATGTTCTGATTTGGGTAATTATATTGTGCTTAAGTGGGAGAATTTCCTTATTTGTAGGAAATAAGTATTTGGGTGATGGACGTTAGGTTTGCAATACAGTCCCAAATGGCTCAGGGTGAAAAAACACATTCTTTGTACTCTATTTGTAATCTTAAGTTTGTTGTAAAATAAATGAATTAAACTGCTTTTAAAAAAATAAGCTAGGTTGCACCCGTTATTCCCACTGCTCCTGTAGATTGGATTGGCCTCAAAAATCCAAAGTATATGAGCAAGTTCAATAGTCAATCAACCTAAACCAGGAATTTTCAACCATCTTCAACTCATGGAACACAAACTAATTACTAAAATTGCGCAGCACACCAAAAATATATACATTTTTGTTGACAAAAAAAATAGATTTAATTTTGATTCATTCACACTGGACAGTTATTGTTGTGCTGGCTGTTCTTTTTTTTAACTTGACAATCTAAGGGAAGAGAGGTCATTGACCTTAACTAAACAGGTACTGCATGTTTTAAAAATCCTTGCAGCACACTGACTGAAAATCGCTGTCCTAAAAGCCAGAGACAAACCTGCAGCCCAACAAAAGTCAGGTTCATTGATTCGTCGCAATCAAAGAGACTGAACACCAGAACTGTAGGGTGTCTCACCATAAAAAGCGTTGTAGGCTTTGGGGGGAAGGTAGACTTTAGGTAAACTTTAAATGAAACAGTATTGACAGACTCAAAGTAAAGCAGCTGTGTGTAAAGGCATCAACATCAGACCTGGACTGAGAAATGGATGTAAGGTCATGTCTCCTTGGAAACGACAAAGAAAATATGGGATGTTCTTTTGGGGAGTCCCTTATCTGAGCTCCGCCCCTGGGTAGAAATCGAAACCGCTTCCCTGTTTGTGTCTTAGATCCTCCAAGCAAGAGTGGGAAGTTTCATTCCTGCTGATATAATTTCAAACAGCAACGTTTATGTGGACTTTAATGAACAAGGTTTCTCGTTGTGTAAGAACATATACCATTTAAGAAATGAGGGCTGTTACAATACCTTTCAGGTGCAGTCGGTTCTTAAACATTTTCCCGTTACCGTTACAATTTGCCTTTGACACTCTATCCTTATGAATAGCTGGGCACACTTTTACTTTCCCAGCTGTTGCAAATGAATATACAATCGGTTTTTCAAACCGCAGCTAATCCTCCTCTCCCGCCCTTGCTTCACTTCTAGGTGTGATGGTCTCACTTTCTACTCATTTCGACTTCTAGTCTCCCTCAGCAATGCAACGGCGCCAAACTTGCCTTTTTCTCAACGTACCGGTTCAATCTTTGCGCTTTCCGCGGCCTCACGCCGTACAGGAGGCCCGCCCCCCTCTTCACAATTCCTATTGGGTAAAACCCACGCCTCTCATAGCAGTGGGGGAGGGACGAAAGACCCGCGGCCCTGCGTGGGCGCTATGAGATGATGTCACAGCAGCGGGACCGGAACTTTCGGTTGCTTTAGAATCTCCAGGCTCTCCCCTCGCTGAGGGCGCTCACTGAGACCGTTGGGTCGGCTCCGGCGCCGCAATGACCATCTGTCAGTTCTTCCTTCAAGGCCGGTGTCGCTTTGGAGAGCGGTGCTGGAATGAACATCCCGGTGCCTGGAGTGCGGGCGGGGGACGGCAGCATCAGCCCTCAAGTGAGATCGCCCTCAGTCCTGCGCCACCTCTAGCCGAGCTGGGTTGGGCCTAACGTGGGGGCCAGCCGGTGGGGAACGGGCGTCCCGCGTGGGGCTCGGCGCGCGCTGCGGCGCACCGGTGAGGGGACTTCTGACCGCCGCGCCCAGCACAGTCTCCTTCCGACGTGTTTACTCGCGTATGAGGCACTCGGTCGGTTTTTGTTGAGCGGACAAAGGCAGGGGCTTGGCTCTGAAAAGTAATGCCAACAATGAGTTTTAAGTCAAATGTACGGGTCAAAACTACCCTGTCGGTGAGTGGCAGTGGTTCGGAGAACTGGCAAAGGTCGACCCAGACGCCTCCTTGCTTTACTATACTCTTATGGGTACTTGTTTTTTGTTTTTGTTTTTTAACCCTTTACTCGAATATAATTTTTACTAAACTTGGTTTTCGAGGGAGAGGCTAGCAACTGGAATCAGAGTCAGGGGTCTCTGAGGAAGTCGCGAACGTCTTTGGAAATATAACAATAAATAGCTTACAGAGCCGCTCCTCAGACTGATGCACATGCTCATAAAATTTGGGGCAAAATTGGGAGGATGGGATGCCCGATTAAGAACTCTGGGCTACGAGGGAACGGGGTGTGGAGGACCACGTTGACTTGCTTCCCTGGCCTAAGTGAATGCCGAAGGTGTTGGCATATTTCATTATATCACTTACGGATGGTGCGAAAAGCACTGTCTTCGAGGAGAGATCAGGCATGAAACCATAGTACAACACAGGGTTTTAATGGTCAGATGAAGAAGTTTTGTTTTCCTAGAATTAGAACTTCGTCCTTAAAGGCATCACGAGATGCTGACTCCCCTGACGCACTCTCCCCTCTTTGCCCGTTTTTGGGGATATTCTGTATCTGCCCTTTCAACCTGGAGTTGCATTGCGTTTTCTCACCTAGTCCCTCTTCTTGAAGGCAGTCTTTTTTGCATTACCACCAGCAGACCTAATGAAATATTCCAAACCAAAAAGTTGGACTCAGGGTCTGATAAATGTGAGCGCACTTCCATTAACAACAGAATGTAATATTTGACATTCTGTGGAGACTCCTTCTACATGGAATAGTTAGAAAATAAACGTTGAATGGATAGAGTAATTGAGGAAAGAAGTGTAATAAAACTCGTCAAACAAACAGTGTATTTAGCTACCTGAAGCAAGCGAATGCTTCTGGAATGAAGAAGTATGAAGGCTAAAAGCTATATTCAGAAGATGAATTGAATTTCTTCAGTTGTTTCATTCCCAAAGGATTTGGAGCTTTAGAAAAATAAAATATCATTAATCCATACTTGAGGGATCTGGTCCAGCAGTCTGCTGCCTGTTCTCCTTGGTTTTATTAGGTTAGGTAGTTTTACATTTGGGAGATGAATTTTCATAAGCGAGTGTATCTCCCATCACTCCACATTTGTATATATTAATATTTAACAGAATACCTCCAATTCAGTGAGAAACAAGGTGAATTATCTTAGAACTAAGTAGAAAGTGATGAGTAATTGAGATAGTTGAAGTGATGACTTTTTCAAAATATATAGAGAGATGATAGTCCTGTTGGCTCATTTTGATAATTATGAAATATTAGTAATTTGCTCATAATAGAGGAACTCGGCACATTATTTACATATAAATTACCTTTATAATTGCCCTATGAAAGATAAGTGGGTATGTGTTTTCCCAAAGGGAAGACTGAGTCAGATAGATTTAAGCATCTCTTCAAGGACAGAGTCTAGAATCTAACTTTTTATCTTCAACAAACTTTTTAATACATTCCCCATTTTTCAGACGTTATTACTATATCAGGCCCAGTGGGGGAGCAAAGAATGATAAAGGCAGCTTTTTATCCTGAAGGAACGGATGATATGCCTTCACTCCACTCCACTACCAAGCAGTTATTTACTTAATAAGCTTATGTCAGCTGAACTTAGTAATATATCATTATTTTTCTAGGGATTTAAAGTCCTCTCAATCTTGTCATTCAGAAATGCAGTTAGACCATTAGGTGATTTGTTGATACTACACTGAATTTTGTACATCAAAAATGAAGAAAAAGTTTTGTGATTTAAAACGAGTGGGGATGTTGAATCTTTGCATAATGTCTATATGTAATAAGACAAAATATAGTGAACTTTTTAGAGGTTTAAAAGATGAGTTGCCAGTAAAATTTTTTGTTTCATTGTTTATTTCAGATAGTAACAGACGCGTGTGGAATGCCAACAGCCCAAGATCCTCCAGTGTTATCCAGCCGTCCAGTTTCTCCAGACCTGCGCCATGGGGGGGCAGCAGAGAGCAAGACAAGTCGTCTTTTGGTTCCTTCGATTCTGGAGCTTCAACTAACAGGAACAGGGGGGTGGGATTACCTCAGAACCTGTTTGCTTCTTCACCTAGCACTGATGCACAGAGAGATGAAAAGAAGCTTCTGTAAGTGAAAGCTTTCAGAAAAATTACTTATCCATTTGCTTATTTTTTTAAAAAGTACCTACAATATATTTTTAAACAGAAGTAATACATTATTTTAAAAATCAGAATAAGCAAAAAGAAGAAGAAGCACCCATGATCCAATCACTCAGAGATAACCACTATTTTTATATATATGTATATATAAAACATATCATACTAGACTTTATTTCACTTAAAAATGTGTCATCTTTCCATATCAGTACAGTGCCTTCTCGGAGCTAATTATGCTTTTTCCGCTTTTCTATTGTTAACCCTATATTGTGAATATCTTTCTAAGGTAGTCCCGCTTAAGTTTGTTGTAAATTATAAGACCTTTAAAAAGTATGAGGTAACATAAAGCAACTTGTGATCTTAGAGGTCACATAATCTCATGTTTTTAATTTTTATTTATTTATTAGAGGGGAAAGGAGGGAGGAAGAGAGGGAGAGAAACATCAATATTCACACATCGATCAGCCAGGGCATATTTTTCTTTCTAAAACTTTTACTTCATTTACCTCATTCAAATTAGTTTCATTTGGTTTTCTTTATTATTATAGAATAAATTCCTTATCATTTCTTGAGAACATTTGTACTAGAATTTATGGCTGGTGCCAAAATAATGCCTGGCCATGCATGTGCAACTTCCCTCAGCTCCTGGCTCCTAGGACAAAACACCAGTGTACTTGCTGGTCTCTTACCTTTCATACATTAGAACCAGTGGTAAACATTTTGAGCCATGTACCATATACTACTGATATTTTAAAAAAGAAAAAACAAATGAAACCCCTTCTTCCTGTATTTGATGATGTTATAAAAATCCTAAATTCAATATAGATTCTCTGTTGTATCTATCATTTTATTAATCGTAGCATTCTGGACAGAGGATTTAATTTAGAACAGATTCTATCTACAGCTTTGACAACAAATTAACTGAATGGGTATGGGTCTGTTTACCCTTTTGCAAAATGTGAAAATTAGACTAAATGTTCTCTAAAGTCCTACCCCTGTAAAAATGTTATGCTTCTATATTACGTGGTACTTTCTGTCTTTCCCAGTTAAATGATCATTGATGTTAAAGTTTTAAAAAGTTAAAGTTATATATTTTATTATATTTTAGTTCTTTAATATATGTGTGGTACAATAGTTATCAATTAAATGTGTTGGTTAATGGTTCAGAGTACTGGGAAACCAAAATTATCAACTTCTTTAATATGTAATATATCTATAATATGAAATATAGTTTGTATTTCTATATGCTTCTGCTTTAAAGTACACTTGAGAAAATATAATGGAAAAATCTAAAGTTATATATTTACTACAGTTTAAAATTTCAATCATTGAAAATTATAAAAGATAAATTTTAATAAGCAGATGAAAACTATTCTTTTTTTTCGTCAGGGAAGGAATTGTCAAAGATATGGAGGTTTGGGAATCATCAGGGCAGTGGATGTTCTCTGCTTATTCACCAATGAAAAAAAAATCTAGTATTTCAGGTAACTGAGAAACTTGTTAAAATATGTTTTACAACTCTTATTTTTCTAAAACCAAGACAATGCCACATAAAGAAATTAAGCACAAACTTAACTGTAGTTAGTACAGCTAAGTACCTGAGTATTCTAGCTGAACTTCATGATTTGGAGATTGAGGTTGGAAGGTATAGTTCTTTTAAGATTTGTAGTTCTCATGAGAAAATAGTAAAATCGGGACCCTCCACAGGTCCATTTCCAAGGCACAGAGAGGCTCTTCCGTGGCTCTCTCTGGGTACCCCTGCAGAACCTCTCGGCTGCCTGCGGTGGGTAGAAGAGTCTTATCCTGCCTGCTATTAAGGCCTTAGCTGTCTGATTCTGTTTTCTCTTTCTTCCCTATCTTTCCTTTTAAGGATAGTTGTTTTTTATAAAGCACAGGAAGGCCTATCCTGGAGATGTTTGTAGGTAAGGAGCTTTAGCTGGGCTGCAGGGATAGCATTTCTATAGAATATGCCTTTGCCTCCCCTTTTCTTTTGTCCATTGTTTCTAAGCCCTTTCTGGGCTGAAACCTAGATTGCCACCCTTCTCTAAGCCCACCCTGGGTGGTCCTGGGCCTCTGGCCTATGGAGTAAACAGCAAGCACCTACCAGATGGGAGTCCTTGCGGTCCCTCAGAACTCTGGGATCTCTACTCTGTCCCAGTTCTGCCTGCTCATTCTCTCTGAACATTTGTGTCTCACAACTCCTTAGTTATTTATTTACTCATTCAACAAATTCTTGTTGATTTCCTTTTGTGCTAGGCCCTATTCTAAGGCTAGGAATATTGTGATGAGCAAGAAGGGCAAGATCCCTCCCTTATGAAGCATGTTCTTGAGGGAGGGGGACAATAAGTAATACAAATAAATAAGAGAATTCCGATTGTGATTTTTCAGTAAAGAAAATGAGGAAGTATTCAGCCTTTTAAAATTAGTTCAGAATTGAGCCTAATGCCTAATGAATGCCCTAAAGCAGCTGTTCTCAATATGTGGACTGTAGATCCCTAAGTAGGGTTGCCAGGTTTATCTAAATTTTAGATCAACAAAGAGTAATATTTTAGCATATGAATAACCATGTAACATTTGTGATGCACACTGAAAAAGTTCTTCTACGTCTGAAATTCAGATTTAACTGGGCATCCTGTATTATTATTTGCTGAATTTAGCAACCCTATTCCTGAGACCCTTGTAAGGGCTGTAAAGTTCAAAAATATTTTCATAATAATGCTAGCACATTAATTGTCATTTTCACTGTGTTTACATTTGCACAGTGAGAGCAAAAGCATGGGTGCATAAAACTCCTCGTATCGAAGTATAACTCAAGGCAGAGACAGTGCGCTGTGTTACCAGCCTTTAACAGTAGCCAATTCAAAAATGAGTGTCATTTTCACTTAAAAATGTCCTTGATGAAATGGTAGAAGTTATTAATTTTATTAAATCTTGGTCTTTAAGTGCAAACCTTTTTACTATACCCTGTGACAAAATGGGAAGCACGCATGAAGCTGTTTCTGCCACATACTCAAATGTGAGGGTTTTCTTATAAGGGGAAGTTCTGGTGTGATTATTTGACTTGGGAGCTGAACTAGCCGCTTTTCTTCCCCCACAGGTCAGTTTTTAATGAGAGAATGACGGAGAACAATGCTTATTTAGACTTAAGTATTTGGTGACATTTTCTTAAAAAATAAATGAAGTGAGGCTGTCACTTCATAGAGAACAACTGTTTATTGACAATGATAAAATTCAGGGTTTCAAGTGAAAATTAGATTATGGAAAACTGTTTTCTTCTAATGTGAGCTTGATGACTTCTTGATACTGGAAGTCTCTGCTAATGAGATGGACAGCGACATGAACAAATATGAATACTTTGGTGCAGTAAAATAACATTTGAAGTTCTGGATATCTCAGGGATCCAGTGTTTTCCAAATGTTCAATCTGTAATATTACAAAATTACACATACCTGAAAAATCCGTTCTAAGTGCTAAGTTATCAGTGGATTTAGCATAATAGTACAACAAGTTTGAACCCACATTATAGCCAACCTTTTAGAAACTACCCCCTGTCAAGTTTTGGTGTAATATCAAGGAATAATAGTCACAATTATCTGAAGAGGCCATTAAAGTCATCCTTTTCCAACTACATACCTGTGTGAAAACAAGTTTTCTTCATATACCACAACCAGGCAATATATTGTAGTAGATTGAATGCATCTAATTATTTCCTGAGGTTAAATCCTAAAAATCCTATTGAGATTAGAAGGTGTGAACATTTCTAAGGCAACTGATGCTCATTGACAATTTTTCTCCTGTAAAAGTGGTACATTTTTAATCTCCTCAATGGCCATTTAGGCCATTCTACTTTACCACATTTTTTTTAGTTCTTAAAATTAAAAGATTTTATGTACTTATTTTTAGAGAGGGGGAGGGGAGGGAGAAACAGAGGAGAGTAACATTGATTGGCCACCTCTCACACATGGCCCAACTGGGGAGTGGGCCCACAGTCTGGGCATGTACCCTGATTGGGAATCGAACCAGCAAGCTTTCACTTTGCAGGACAGTGCCCAACCAGCTGAGCACTGGTCAGGGCCACTTCACCACATTCCTAAAAACAATAAATAACATTCATTTTTAATCTTTGCCAGTCTGATAAATAAAGCATTTTATCTCTATTTTAAGTTGTATTTTTAATTGAACTTTTTTATTTCATTTATTTACTGGCCATTTGAATTTTTTGTGAATTGCCTGATTATTATATTTGCTTACTATTCTTAGTGATTTGTAAGAGCTATTCATACATTAACATCAGTTCTTCTCCTGCATGTTGTAGTTACGGTTTTCCCAGCTTGCCTGCCTTTTAATTTTGCTTATTATAGTTTCTGACATAGAGAATCTGTGTTTAGACAGAAGTTTAAATGTATACATAGTCAACTTTCTTGTTCTTCTCTTTGTTTTTTTCTTCCTCTCCATTTATATTTAGAAAAAAATCCCCCTTCAAAGATAATAACTACATTTTATTCTAATTTTTTCTTATTGAATTTTTTCCTTATATTTTATGAAAATTTTCTAGTGACCCACATTAGTACATTATCTTGTCTAGCACCTCTAGCTTTACTGTACTATCAAAAGTATTGGCATTTATTTAAAAATTCCAATTGATTCCTTACTTCAGGTTTTACAGACATTTCACCAGAGGAGTTGAGGCTTGAATACCATAACTTCTTAACCAGCAATAACTTACAGAGTTATGTAAGTTTGTTTCCTATTCATCTACCTCCATAACAGATTAGGCTTCTCTGTAGTAGAGTCTTGCTTGTGTTGGCAAAGTGGGTAAGGTCTACAGTTTTTTCGAGACAAGGCAGTTTTTACTTTCTAAATTACTTTTACTTTCTACATTACTTTATTTGCAATTGATTGGTTATCTAAAATGGTGATGATATATTTTGACTGTAGAAACTAGGAATGTCATTATTTTATTACAAATTATCCAGCGATCTTTCCCAGAAATTAAACCCTTCATTGTTTGGTAAACATTTGTAGAGTGTCTCTTCAATGCAAGTGAAACTGTGATGAGTCTTAGGAAAGCAAAGTTAAATAAAGCAGTCTGTTATAGAGGTTAACATTCTCACATGTTAAATATCAAAAGTGAAAAGACTGAGTTTGAATAGGTTTGGTGCTAAAGGAAATGACAGAGACTGGATTTTTGTGTTGTCTACAGTCACGATCATGCTTTCTAACTAGTGCAGGTGTTCACCTCCCCTCCGAGTGTAACTGACTTTGCTGCCAGGCACTTGTGATTCTTAGCCAGGTAACTCAAGGAGTTGCAGAACAGGGAGAGGGGACTACAGCTGGAATATCGTTGGCAAATAGGAGCAGGTCAATGCAAATTTTACAAGTTATGGGCCATAAAAATGTTTCATAAACTTTTTGTAATTTTGGCAAAGACATGAAGTTGTCGTTTGAGAGATTAATATAAGCATTCAGTATTGGCTCATTATTTATCTGTCTTCTCTCTTCAGCTCAGTTCCATCCAACAGTTAATAAATCAGTGGAAGAACAGGGTGAATGAACTGAAAAGTCTAAATACATCAACTAAAATAGCTTTGGTGAGTACTAGAGAATTTACTATACGGAAGTATCTTATCTGTTGCTTTTTTGTAAGAATTTTACTTTCTGTTTGGAAAACAAAGTTAAAATTTTCTGCCAAGCCCTGACTGGTGTGGCTCAGTGGATTGAGCGCCGGTCTGCACACTGAAAGGTTGCTGGTTTGATTGATTCCCAGTCAGTGGGAATCAGCCCAGGCTCATGCCTGAGTTGTGGGCCAGGTCCCCAGTTGTGGCCATGTGAGAGGCAACCTATAGACGTTTCTCTCGTACATCAATGTTTCTCTCGTCTCTTTCTCCCTCCCCTCTCTCTAAAAATAAATAAATACTTTTAAAAAGAAAAATACGACTGCACATTTAAACTAATGTATACTTTTGTGACTGAAGAAGACTTACCATATGCTCCTTGTCCTATACAGAAATGCCTTTAGGAGTTATGTTATACTCACCTGTCTCCAAAGGTACATGATCGTAACTGTAGCATAGTCATTCTCCCTGTCAACAAGGTTATGCTTTTTCTACCCCCATAAAAAGTGCTTAAGAACCTTATTTTAAAATAAGATATTTACCTTTAGAATTTAATGTTTCCAGTTTCCCAGGTGGTTTATGTTTCTGCTTTCTAAAAAAAGGATATGAGAGTGGCAGTTGCCTAAACTTCCTGAATGACTGACTGTATGACCGTCCCAGCACCCCACCCCTTCTTAACTGCGCACTTCCTAAATAACTAGACTCTTATGCCAGCCAACCCCTTCCACCTTTCAGGTATTATAATGCCATTTCAATTTAGTAGGACTTGCTGAAAATATTCTGTCCCTAGGTGAGAGGTGGCCCTCTATCACCATTCTGAGAGCTGATCTAGAAGCGAAAACTGAGTCCACAGAGCTACAGAACTTCCCTCAGGGTTGGACGTTCCCTGCTCTCTGCCAGCTTCCTAGAGGCCCCCCTGTAGGTGAGGGTCTTGGACAGTCCACTCGCAACTGGCTTAGTGTATCAGTAACTCATTCTTTAAATCTGTTGTATGATTACAACATAATTTGTTTATTCATTTACCTGTTAATGAATATTACACTGAAGGAGAGAAGCTAGACCCCCGCCCCCCCCCAAAAAAAGAATACACTTTAGTGATTCCATTTATATGAAACTTTAGAAGAGACAAACCTCACCGTTCAGTACAGTGGGAGAGAGCAGCTGAGTGGACTTTGGGGGCCGGGAGAGGGCTGACGGGAAAGCGACGCAGGAGAGCTCTGTGGGGTGATGGGAATGTTCTAAGTCTTGATAGTGGTGGTGGTTAAAGTTTGTCAGACTCATTGACATATGTATATTTTATAGACATATAGACATCAAATGGATGCATTTTATTGTATATAAACTATACCTCAATAAAGTTTATTTTTTAAATAGGCTATTGGGGCTTCCAGGTGAGAGAAATCACATCTGTTTGGGTTGGTTAGAGAAGGAAAGGCTTCTTGGGAAGTGGTAAATGAAAAGTTTTTTGAAAGGAAGGTGAAGATTTCAGTAAGCAGAGCTGGAAGACATTTCTATAGCGGGAAATAGCAAGAGCATAGAGTATTTGCAGGCAATAGGAAATGTTTAATAGGTTTTAGTGGTAAGTTTTAGTAGTGTCTCTTAATATCTAGATTTCTTTATAAATGCAGATCAGCCTATAGATACTGACATACATTATTAAAATTATTTTTCTGACTTTAATATGTGTTCATTGGAGAAATTTAGAAAATATTTTTTAAGCTATTATTTATTTACTTTTTAGAGGGGAAGGAAGAGAAACACCAATGTGTGAGAGATATACCGATCAGTTGCCTCTCACATGCTCCCTGGGGACCTACCTGGCCCACAACCGAAGTATGTGCCCTGACTGGGAATCGAAATTGTGACCCTTTGGTTCTCAGGCCAGCATTCAGTCCACTGAGCCACACCAGCCAGGGCTAGGAAATATTTAAAAGCATAAGTAAAATTAAAACCATAATTCATCAGCCTTTACTCTTAATCCTTGAGGTCGGTATACTTTTTTCTATGCATATTCCTATTGTGGGCATTTTTCTATGTTAAACATTTAACTTCACATTTTTTAGTGCATTTAAGTTCAATTTTAAAAATTGAATTCGGCTCTAAAGCCTACAGAAAGGTACTTGAGAATTATTTATCCAGTACTCTATTATTTGCCCTTTTTTACAGCTCTCTGATATAAAGGATGGACTAAATCAAGCAGCACCTGCATTTGGATTTGGCAGCAGCCAAACAGCAGCATTTGGGTCACCAGGTAAGTGATAAAGTAATGCAGGATTTCACTGATTTTTGAAAAATAGGATTTTATAGTTTTCAAGTCATAAAGCCTGAAGGTACGTTAAGTACCATTTTAAATCACCCTTGAAAATTCTACCACCTTCCATAATGGAGCTTCAAAGAATTTGATTCATCAAGCATTGGTGAAAGGGGGAGGGGCCAGAATGGGCTTCACTATTCTTTGAAAGACCCTATGGCTCAAGCTTTAGAAATATATTTTAGGAATGGTTTTTTCAGACTTTCATAGCTGTGGTAGCAGCACCTTTGAGGACTTTCTTGTCACTGTGTATAACAGTGTAGTACCATCCTCAAGTGACAGCTCCCTTGACATGGGGGAGGGTGCCGGGGGTAGGCAAGCTTCCCCCTGGAGAAGTGTAAGTGCACTTCCCTGAGGTTCCTCAAAGCTGCCTCCTGGAGTGAAGGTAAATCATGGTGCAGAAGAGGTCAGTGTAGCAGGAAGACAGAACAACGGGGCTCAGTGGGTTTGTTCTAGCTTCTCAGTTGCACTCTTCTCCCTTCCAGTAATCTTCTCTCTCTGCAACATCCAAACATGGCAGGAATAAGGGGAAAATGAGGGGAGTCGGGTGGGAGTATATTAATGTTGCTGCATTTCTGACTATAATAGATTTCTTTTTCTGGTTTATTTGTAGGTTTTCCAGTGAATAACAGCATGAGTGATACTGCTCAAAATTTTAGTTTTAAAGCAAGCTCTGGATTTGCCACTGCCCCTTCCGGAAGCCCACCTGTGTTCGGGAGTTCGCCAGCGTTTGGAGCCGTTCCCTCTACCAGTCCTGCCATCACCACCTCTACTCCAATTCCTGGGTTCGGGAAACCCCAGGTCACATCTGCTGCCTCATTTTCATTCAAAACCCCTGCAGCTTCAGGATTTGGCTCACCTGGGTTTTCAGGGTTCCCAGCCCCCATGGCAGCGGGCCCTCTCGGAGCTCTAGGGGCCCCAGCCTTCGGGAGCGGCAGTTCTGTGGTTGGCTTTGGAAATCCAGGCTCACAGTCTCACACTACTTTTTCCAAGCCATCCAGTGACAGTTTTGGAAATAGCAACACATCCACCTCTGTCCCCATCTCAAACGGCAGCACGACAGATAATGAAATATTCACGCCCAAGCATCAACTAACAGCAGAAGAACTAGAGCAGTTTCAGTCTAAGAAGTTTACTCTGGGGAAAATTCCACTGAAGCCACCACCTGTGGAACTTCTAAATATTTGAAAGGACAATGTTAAATACAGAAAAGAATGTCTTTTAAAATTGTGAATGGTTCATATAAAAGAACAGATAGACACACGTATGTATATGTATATATATAAGGAGTAGAGCTTTCAATAATAAATTTAGAGGTTCGAAATTTAACATTTTTTCTTGAGCTTAAGTAAAACGATACTCAGCAGGTGATTTTCTTTCACTACAATTACTACAAATCTGTCAGTGTGCACTGAATAAAATACTTTTTTCATTCTACATCATTTTACTATCTTACCCTTTAAAGTTTTACTTTTAACCCTTTTTTAAGAAGGAGATAATATCTAGAACCATTAAGGGGGAAATGCTTAAATATTTGGCCTACTCACCAAACAAACATTAGTAGCATGACTTCCCTTCGTGTAAAAGAAGATACTCTCAAAGAGAGAAATAACAGTTTTTAAAGAGTGAAAACTTATATTTTTCGGACCTAAGAGGCATTTTCCCCTCATGCTTTTGTTCCCCCCTCAATTTTGGCTGTCTTATGGACTGCCATTTGAGTTTTCTTCAACAGTTTTGGGCTAATTTTTATCTTAGCCTAATTTTTATAAAACTATTTATTCCTTCCATTATCCTATCAAATGGTTGGATTGTAAGAGGGACAGAAATTGTGATCATGTGAATAAATAGTGTATGTAGAGGGGTCAGGAGTCCTCAGCTGTGTTTCTACAGCCTTTATCAGAATTCTCAGACACGCTGGGACCTCCTTGTCCCAAGCGGGGGCGCGGGGCGGGGTAACATCTTCATACCCAATACGTGGTTGACCCAAGAAACCAGAGACCTGGCACGCTTTGAGGCCCAGATGTCAGAGCTCTGTGCTCCTTCCTCAGGTCTCAAAAACAGCGCTTCAAGGACAGTTTCCTAATGTAGGAAGTGAAAATAAAACCTTACCTAATAAAAGATATGTATGCCAAATGATTTTTTTATGTGAAAAGGATTATAGCCCTTAGATGATCCAGATGCTCCAATACCATTTTTGAAGAGCTGTATGGCTCCAACTAACAAGTGCTGGGACCCCAGAATGTGGGATAGAATCTATACCTGAGCATTCCATGTTCGAAACCATCCTTGCTACAGAGATGGTAAAGAGACCACCGAAGTTCCTGCTTTGTTCTCGCGCCCTAAAGACTTTCCAATGTTTATTCCAACTTGCAGCTGACTTCTAGACTTTTCCTGCCCTGATGGAATGAATGTTGTCACTACCATCGGTAGGGTACGGGCTTACCAGGCTCCCTTGGGTCCCAACTGAACTTCCCAGTGGCCTGGGAGCTCTGAGTGAGGAGGGAAGGGGCCAGTGTTTCTAAGTTTTCATTATCGCCCGCATACTTGTTAAATGATGTGCCCACTGGGTTAGGCCTGGAAACGTGTGTTTTAATGAAGTGTCCCATGAGATCCTGCAAACTTGGGAAACGAGCCCATCCAGCTACATTTAGGCTACTTAGTAATATGTGATTTAGGAGTTTTGTTTTGACTTAATTATTGACATCTGTTTTCTGTGCTCACACACACAAAATGTGGTGAACTTAATGAGGTCCAAAGCTATCAAAATAGTGCAGTTGTCAAAAAAGCACAAACAAGTGCTACGGGTAACTTAAAAGTGTGAGATACTAAAGCAAAAAGTCCACAAAGTAGAAACCCTCAGGGTGCCCGCATATTGATATCAGGAGTCGAAGAAGGCCAGGAGCTCCTATTCCTAGGTTAAGGGGCAGCAGGGCTTCAGAAAACCAGAAACAGGTAGCAATGAGGTGGGGGCCAAGGACACGGGCACACTGAGTCCACACTGAGTCGGGCCCGCCATGAGCGGGAAAGGAAGGGAAAGGGCAACAAGAGCCTGTGCCAGCGCCGGGGTGGACTCAGGGAGGCGGCGAGGCAGTGCCGGGAGAGCAGCTCAAACGGAAAGGCATGCCCCAAACTAAGCACAAGCAGCCTCCCTTCACGCCGCTGCAAGCGCTGTCCCTTTCACCGGGGACAAAGAGCAAGTGACAGGGTTGCAAAGAAGGCTGTGTTACAAGTGAACTGATTTGAGTGGCTTGATTATCTGATCGAAGATTAGAGGGGCAGAAGTGTAGCAGCTGAGAGCTGATGACAGGGGGAGAGATGAAACAAGCTGATGTTAAAGCTGTTTAAAAGGCGTAGCAAAATCTAGTTATATGGTATTACTCAAAAGGGTAAAATAACCCAATCTCTGGCCCAACAACAGGAAATTGGTTAATTGTGGTAGATTCATGTATTGGAACATTTAACAGTCTTTCTAAATGACTAAAGGAATAGGGAATAACTTGGAAAGGCTTTCGCTCTGTAGTCAGCAGGCAAAAGCCTGTTACACAGTACCATGCACGATGTTGTCCAATTTGGGGGAAAGTATATTCAATCCGGGGAGAGGGGGGTGCTAAAAGTTAATAATAGCTCAGATTTGTTTTTTTTTTAATTGTGGTTTTTAAAAATCCACATAATGTTAAATCCACCACCCTAAGCATGTTTAAGTGTACAGCTCAGTAGTGTTAGGTGGTTGGTGTGCACAGCATTTGCGTTGTGTAACATCTCCAGAATTATTTCATCTTGCTGCACTGCAACTCCATACCCACTAAACGTCATTCTCTCCCTCTTCCCCCCAAGCCCTGGCAACCACATTTCTACTTTCTGTTTCTACAATTTTGGCTGTTTTATTTTATTTTTAACACTATGATTAGGTGCTATCATCCTGATGATTTTCTAAGTGAGAAAACTAAAATCTAGAACTAGATTGTGGGTTTGGGGCTGTTTGTTTGTTTTTGCTCATCGGCATTTTCTGCCATACACACGCGTTACCACCACAATGCAGGTATCTCCGGTTTCTCCTTACACATACGTGATTTGTGGGTCACAGTGTAACCATGCTTGATGGCAAAGACTTAACTTGGGCAGAATTATTTCCTTAGGTGAAATTCATTCTCCTAAGAATCAGAAAAGATACAGCCCTCTTGTCCCTCTGTCTCTAAGCCTCCAGTTCCTTCTCCCTCACTCCGGGCTAGGGAAGCATGCGTACACCAGGCTAAGACATCCTTCCCGTGGCTGGACGGTACAGTCGCTGCTGCTGTCTGTGCCCTTCCAGCTCCATTCTTTCTGCTCTGCCTTGCCACTTTTATTTCTCTAAAAAGGAACAGTCAAAAGCCTTGCAAATATGAGGGACTCTTTTAAGAAGAATGCTTGAAAGAAGGAAACAGATGAATGAGGACATTTTATTTGCCCAAAATAATAGTTTGTAGTGAGAATTATTACACAAGAAGAAACTCAAGAGGTCCAATAATACTCATGAAAGGCAAATTAATATAACAAGATCCCACTTCATACCCATTAAATGGGCAAAAAATTAAAATCCAACAGTAACAGACACAGAAGATACAATGTTGTAGAGACTTGGGAGCTGCTGATAGGAGGGGGGATTGTTGCAAGCACTTGAGAGTGATTTGGCAATATCGAGTAACGTCGAAGATGCGCATCCTTACAACCTAGCTGATCCACTCCTCTGCAAACCCCTTGCTCCTCAAAGGGTGGTCCTGGGGCCAGCAGCATCAACAGCCCTGCCAGTTTAATACAAATGCAGGATCTCAGGCCCCATTTCAAACCTACTAAATCAGAGACTGCATTTCAACAAGATTCACCGGATTTTATGTACATGAACACAGGGGTGGGCAAAAGTAGATTTACAGTTGTATGAGAGAGGTGATTCTTGTTTAGCAGTGTATTATTTACTAGTAGTAGTAATAATACTGTTTTTTGCCCACCCCTGTACATGAGAAACTGTGGCATGTGGGAAAAGGAGGCCAGTACAAAATCACGTCGTACTCTTTGTAGTAGCATTTCTCACCACCTCTCGCTGGCTCTGGCCAGGGCTGTGGACCCATCCTGGATCAGCCATGGAATACACAAAGTCTCTTCTGATATACCCTGACCGAATTCTGATTCAAAGAGCTGCCCGCTTTTAACAGCTGTATAGTATGCCATTGCGCAAATGTGTCATAATTTGCCCAACCTCTCCTTTGCCGATGGACGTTCAGGCTTTCCAGCAATTTACTATCAGGATGCACTTTCCTGGGCCTGGCCCTCCACATACACACACTGTTCTTTCTTCAACCTGCACGAGCACATGACTGCTGAACTGTGCTTTTTGTGCTTTTAGGGAACTTTCCGTCACACCACCAATTTGTCACATTGTTTATCCCTGTGACTACTTTGAGGAGTTGCGACGGGACTATGGAGGCTGCAATGCCTAGACTTTTACTTCATTGTTTTCTGTTCACCGAGAGTATCCACGTGTCAACAGAGGGGCTCTCTGAAACTCCCCTAAAATTAGGGGGATAGCTCCAAATGTCTATGGAAGCCCCACTTGCCTTCTGCTTTTCTCTGGGTCATCTTGGGGTGGGGACACCTTTCTCCTAATCTCTTCTGCCTCGTAGCCTCGCTTTCACCATAACAGTGCAGAAGAACCGGTAAAAACCTTGAAATTTTCCATTTCCCTTCTTTTGCTAGTGTCTAAGGGCCACTAAAACCCAAGCCACAGAGAAAGCTACTACCACAACCCATACCCACCATCCCCAAAGAGGTGATGGTGTCCCCAGGCCAGTGCCTGACATCTCAGCCCTCGTCTTCCTCCCCTGGGTTTGTGGTGAATGGTCTTGCCTCTCCCACAATGCCCTTATCCTGCCAACCCATCACGCGGGAGCCACAAACCTGCACTTCTGGCTAACTGCAGCATCTCTCAGAAGCACGTCATGTGTCCTTTCTGCTTCCGATGCCTGATTTTTTTTTTAATCACTTTACAAACATCTCTGGGCTAGCCTCAGTTTTGAAGTCCTGGAACTTAGCTCTCTCTAACACTGTCCAGATCTCGAGTTAATACCCAATAGCATTTCCCATCCTTGTTTTATTGCTGATAAACAAGCTTTCTCTTCCTTGGCCTCACAGACATTGTCCTTTTCTCTTTTGCCTTCACACGCTCAGCTGTGCCTTAGCAAAGCACCACCAATCCCATTTTTAACCCTTACAACAGAGGCCTTCCTGCCCCTCCCCCTTCCCCCGTGGCCAGCACGTGTGAAGACAGACTGAAGTGGTCTCTTGCGAGCCCCTTTCTG